ATGGCGAATCTTCGACGCCACGGACACGCCCATCGACGAAAACGCGCAGATAGCACAACTTTACATCATCAATGCCTTTAGAAGGCACAGCAGAAATTTTAAGTCGATCCGACTAAATCCCTAGGAGGAGTTCGTTAAAGTACGGAGTGTGTAAATCGTCCAAAAATAGCCGCCAAATTCAAAATGGCGGACTTCCTGTCGAGTTTAGGATATGGGTTCTTGAGGCTTTTTTGTGCGTCTTGATATGATACACGTCCCCACCAAATTTCGTGCATGAAGGTTGAACGTGGACGAGGGGCTAATTTTTTCCAATTTTCTAGGTGGCGCTAGCGTGCCAATTTGCCCCGCCCATCTGCGAAACCCACAAAATACGAAATTTTTCACCAGTCCTGACATGCATGCCAAATTTGGTGAGTTTTTGAGCATGTTGCGGCCCCGAAAATGGCACTTACTTTGCAGAAAAAAAAAAAAAAAAAAAAATTAAAAAAAATTAAAGCTGCAAGCAGCAATGGGCGGGCCCTCGCACCTGTAGCACGTCGGGGTCTGAGGCGGCCGCGTTACATTTTCTGCAGCTCAGCCAGTGCGGCTGTGCATTTGCTACTTTGCTTCATTAAAGGTCACTTCCTGTTGCCAGCAGGTGGCGCTATGACTGGTGGGTGAATGTCGGCATGTAGATTTGTTCAGGGCGGGACTCTTGTGAAAGGTGTGAAATTTCATGCATATCTGGGCTTTTACAGCCAAGTTACAACAACTTCCTGTTTCATGGCGAATCATCGACGCCATGGACACGCCCATGGACGAAAACGCGCAGAGAGCACAACTTTACATCGTCAATGCCTTTAGAAGGCACAGCAGAAATGTGATGTCGATCCGACTAAAGCCCTAGGAGGAGTTAGTTAAAGTACGTAATGAGTAAATCATGCAAAAATGGCGGTAAAATTAGAAATGGCTGACTTCCTGTTGAGTTTAGGGCATCGCTCCAAGAGACTTTTCTGTGCGTCTGGACATGGTAGATGTACCACAGAAATTTCGTACATGTCGGTCAAACATGCGACGGGGGCTGCTTCGTTAAAACTCACTTCCTCTTGCCACTAGGTGGTGCTATGAATGTGGGTGAATGTCGGCATGCAGATTTGTTCAGGGCGGGACTCTTGTCAAATGTGTAAAATTTCGTGTAGATCTGGGCATTTACAGCCAAGTTACTACAACTTCCTGTTTCATGGCGAATCATTGACGCCACGGACACGCCCATCGACGAAAACGCGTAGATAGCACAACTTTACATGGTCAATGCCTTTAGAAGGTACAGCAGAAATTTGAAGTTGATCCGACTAAATCCCTAGGAGGAGTTCGTTAAAGTACGGAGTGTGTAAATCGTCCCAAATCGGTCGCCAAATTCAAAATGGCGGACTTCCTGTTGAGTTTAGGGTATGGGTTCTTGAGGCTTTTTTGTGCGTCTTCAAAGGATACACGTCCCCAACAAATTTCGTGCATGTAGGTTGAACGTGGACGAGGGGCTAATTTTTTCCAATTTTCTAGGTGGCGCTAGCGAGCCATTTTGCACCGCCCATCCGCGAAACCCACAAAATACGAAATTTTTCACCAGTCCTGACATGAGTGCCAAATTTGGTGAGTTTTTGAGCATGTTGTGGCCCCGAAAATGGCACTTACTTTGCAGAAAAAAGAAAAAAAAAAATAATCCCAACAGTTTCAATAGGGTCCTCGCACTGTTAGTGCTCGGGCCCTAATTAAAGCTGCAAGGAGCGATGGGCGGGCCCTCGCACCTGTAGCCCTTCGGGGTGTGAGGCGGCCGCGTTGCATATTCTGGAGCTCAGCCGGCGCGGCTGTGAATTTGCTACGCTTCATTAAAGGTCACTTCCTGTTGCCAGCAGGTGGCGCTATGACTGTTGGTGAATGTCGGCATGTAGATTTGTTCAGGGCGGGACTCTTGTCAAATGTGTTAAATTTCATGCAGATCTGGGCATTTACAGCCAAGTTACTACAACTTCCTTTTTCATGGCGAATCATCGACGCCACGGACACGCCCATCGACGAAAACCCGCAGCTAGCACAACTTTACATCGTCAATGCCTTTAGAAGGCACAGCAGAAACGTGAAGTCGATCCGACTAAAGCCCTAGGAGGAGTTAGTTAAACTACGTAATGAGTAAATCATCCAAAAATGGCCGTAAAATTAGAAATGGCCGACTTCCTGTTGAGTTTAAGGCATCGCTCCAAGAGACTTTTCTGTACGTCTGGCCATGGTAGATGTACCACAGAAATTTCTTACATGTCGGTCAAACAAGCGGCGGGGGCTGCTTCGTTAAAGGTCACTTCCTGTTGCCAGCAGGTGGCGCTATGACTATGGGTGAATGTCGGCATGTAGATTTGTTCAGGGCGGGACTCTTGTCAAATGTGTTAAATTTCGTGCAGATCTGGGCATTTACAGCCAAGTTACTACAACTTCCTGTTTCATGGCGAATCATCGACGCCACGGACACGCCCATCGATGAAAACGCGCAGATAGCACAACTTTACATCGTCAATGCCTTTAGAAGGTACAGCAGAAATTTGAAGTTGATCCGACTAAATCCCTAGGAGGAGTTCGTTAAAGTACGGAGTGTGTAAATCGTCCCAATTTGGTCGCCGAATTCAAAATGGCGGACTTCCTGTCGAGTTTAGGGTATGGGTTCTTGAGGCTTTTTTGTGCGTCTTGAAATGATACACGTCCCCACCAAATTTCGTGCATGTAGGTTGAACGTGGACGAGGGGCTAATTTTTTCCAAATTTCTAGGTGGCGCTAGCAAGCCATTTTGCCCCGCCCATCCGCGAAACCCACAAATTACGAAATTTTTCACCAGTCCTTACATGAGTGCCAAATTTGGTGAGTTTTTGAGCATGTTGCGGCCCCGAAAATGGCGCTTACTTTGCAGAAAAAAAAAAAAAAAAAATTAAAGCTGCAAGCAGCGATGGGCGGGCCCTCGCACCTGTAGCGCGTTGGGGTGTGAGGCGACCGCGTTGCATATTCTGCGGCTCAGCTGGTGCGGCTGTCAATTTGGTTCGCTGCTTCGTTAAAGGTCACTTCCTGTTGCCAGCAGGTGGCGCTATGACTTAGGGTGAATTCGGGCGTGTAGATTTGTTCAGGACGTGACTCTTGTCAAATGTGTCAAATTTCATTCAGATCTGGGCATTTACAGCCAAGTTACTACAACTTCCTGTTTCATGGCGAATCATCGACGCCACGGACATGCCCATCGATGAAAACGCGCAGAGAGCACAACTTTACATCGTCAATGCCTTTAGAAGGCACAGCAGAAATTTGAAGTCGATCCGACTAAATCCCTAGGAGGAGTTAGTTAAAGTACGTAATGAGTAAATCATCCAAAAATGGCGGTAAAATTAGAAATGGCTGACTTCCTGTTGCGTTTAGGGCATTGCTCCAAGAGACTTTTCTGTGCGTCTGGACATGGTAGATGTACCACAGAAATTTCGTACATGTTGGTCAAGCATGTGGCGAGGGCTGCGTCTTTAAAGGTCACTTCCTCTTGCCACTAGGTAGCGCTATGACTGTAGGTGAATATCGGCATGTAGATTTGTTCAGGGCGGGACCCTTGTCAAATGTGCAAAATTTCCTGCAGATATGGGCATTTATAGCCAAGTTACTACAACTTCCTGTTTCATGGCGAAACATCGACGCCACGGACACGCCCATCGACGAAAACGCGCAGATAGCACAACTTTACATCGTCAATGCCTTTAGAAGGCACAGCAGAAATTTGAAGTCGATCCGACTAAATCCCTAGGAGGAGTTCGTTAAAGTACGGAGTGTGTAAATCGTCCCAAAATGGGCGCCAAATTCAAAATGGCGGACTTCCTGTCGAGTTTAGGGTATGGGTTCTTGAGGCTTTTTTGTGCGTCTGGTCATGGTAGATGTACCACAGAAATTTCGTACATTTCGGTCAAACAAGTGGCGGGGGCTGCTTCGTTAAAGGTCACTTCCTGTTGCCAGCAGGTGGCGCTATGACTGTGGGTGAATGTCGGCATGTAGATTTGTTCAGGGCGGGACTCTTGTCAAATGTGTAAAATTTCGTGCAGATCTGGGCATTTACAGCCAAGTTACTACAACTTCCTGTTTCATGGCGAATCTTCGACGCCACGCACACGCCCATCGACGAAAACGCGCAGATAGCACAACTTTACATCGTCAATGCCTTTAGAAGGCACAGCAGAAATTTTAAGTCGATCCGACTAAATCCCTAGGAGGAGTTCGTTAAAGTACGGAGTCTGTAAATCGTCCAAAAATGGCCGCCAAATTCAAAAATGGCGGACCTCCTGTCGAGTTTTAGGGTATGGGTTCTTGAGGCTTTTTTGTGCGTCTTGATATGATACACGTCCCCACCAAATTTTGTGCATGTAGGTTGAACGTGGACGAGGGGCTAATTTTTTCTAATTTTCTAGGTGGCGCTAGCGTGCCATTTTGCCCCGCCCATCCGCGAAACCCACAAAATACGAAATTTTTCACCAGTCCTGACATGCATGCCAAATTTGGTGAGTTTTTGAGCATGTTGCGGCCCCGAAAATGGCACTTACTTTGCAGAAAAAAGAAAAAAAAAAATAATCCTAACAGTTTCAATAGGGTCCTCGCACTGTGCTCGGGCCCTAAAAATAATCCTAACAGTTTCAATAGGGTCCTCGCACTGTTAGTGCTCGGGCCCTAATAACGATGTTCAATGCAGAGGTATGCCAGTCTCCAGAAGAGATCCAATTCCTGGAGAGTTTAGTCATAACTACAACTTGTAACTTTTGGTAGAACTCCGACTTGTACCACGTGATCGCTGTACCACCTGACCACTGCAGATTCATTTGCCGTTGATAGTGTTGCCATAAAACCAATCAATCATCTCCAAATTACGGTTATTATTACGACGTCCAACCCTGATCAAACACACCTGAACAAGCTAATCAAGGTCTTCAAGAATAGGCTATATTAGAAAGCTACAGACAGGTGATTTCCATTAGGGTTGGAGTTGCCCAGAACTCCAATTGGATCTTTAAAAACGCATTTCCAAAAAGTGCTTTAAACTCTTTTCATAGCGTTTGCTGTGGGACTCAGGTGGTATTTTGATGCAGCAACAGGGTTGTCCTTTGTAGTTTTGTGGTCCTCGCTGTCCACCCCTGCTGACTCACTAATTCAGTGCATCTTCCAGCAGAGTTGATTGTGAGATCGCAGGTCGAGAGGATGACAGTTCAAGTGTACTGCTTGTTTAGTGCGGTTTTATTGGGTCTGTCTGCTTGTTGGAGCACAACACACGCTGGAGTCCTAGGTGAGAATTTCTTTTAGCTTCATCACGCAGGCCAAAGAAGTGCATAAATGAAGTGCCTTACAAAATTAGAATTTAGACGCATCTGCTTACGAAAATGCAGTACAGACGTCAAGTGGAAGTTCAACTCTGTGTGTTGGTTTAGTTTTAATAGTAAGCAAAGTGTAGATATGCGAACCGTCATATGTTTATGCATTTTTCATTGTACAACAATTTCATTGTTTTAAGAAATTCATAAGCCTACAATTTAACATGGGGAGCTAATTATAACCGATAACTCTGTGATGTATATATGCGTGTCTATATTTGTTTTGTGTTCTCTTACGAAGCCTATAAAAATGCTTAAGGGAAATGAGGGTGGTCATGGGGATGGCATAATATTTGGAAGCTGTATACAACGTATTAACTGATGTCCATGTTTTCTATCAGCTTTGCACTATTACTAACTCTACTATAGTGGGGTAGGTTGTAACCGCACTCTCAGTCTTGGAAACCGATTGATGCACTTTAGTGAAAATGGTGGATTTCTAAGCTACATTGACTTGAAGCAGATAAATGTGTGAATATTATAAAGTTTGAGACTCATTGCAAAACCCCTGACTTGCTAATGCTGAAGCAAACTATTACAGCACTTCCTGGTCTCCCCTAATGATCCACTTCAATCCTCTTCTGTAGTGTCCGGTCGGTGTCCGGCGATGCTGACGGTCATGCCGTCCCGTCGAGGATGCACTTCTGATAGAGACTGCTCTGGAGGACACAAATGCTGTCAATTTCCCTGTGGGCGCTCGTGTGTGCCGCCTGTTTTCAGTGAGTTTTAATTAATGGATGCTATATGTCTTCCAAAAAAAAAACTGCATTTTGTTTCTCTCAGAAATTTCTAGTCTATTTCACAAATAATTGCAAAGAAACCGCAAGCAACGCATTGGACTAAATGTGAAACTGAAGTAGAAAGACTGAATATTCCGGAAAAACCATCTTATGGCGACTTTTTTCATACAGCGAATGAGACATTCAGTGTTCAGTGGCTTCAGTTATGTTGCTACCATTCAGTGGCAGTATTCAGTTATGTGGCTTCTCTGTCATGTGTCTCTTTATCAGCAAAGCCAGGAGAGTGTCCAAGCAAAAAAATTGGAGCAGAAACGTGTGACGATTTGTGTCACTATGACAGTGACTGTCCGAACAATGAGAAATGCTGCAGCAATGGATGTGGACATCAGTGTATGGCTCCATTTGCAGGTATTTATGTTATTAGGGGCCAAGCCCCGAAGGGGCTGAGGCACCTATTGTATCTGTTAGTTTTCTTATTATTATTATTAGGGGCCAAGCCCCGAAGGGGCTGAGGCACCTATTGTATCTGTTGGTTTTCTTATTATTATTATTCCGTGAATGGGAGTCTATGGCAGCCCTATGAACCGTAAGTAGGAAAATGATGAAAGTTGGCACACTTGTAGTGATGCTAATGAATAGTAATTGGACCAATTTTTGAGCCTCTAGGACCAACTCTATAGCGCCACCACCAGTTCAAAAATTCAACATTGAAATGGTTATAACTTTTGAACCCTTTGCTCTAGAGACATGAAACTTAGTACACCTGATTCCTCTCATCATGCTGATTACAACCAATACTGTACATTAAGACCCCGCCCATTACAGTAGTGGCCATTTTGAAATGTACAGTTCTCAGTTTTTTCGCTACTCCTCCTTCAAATTTTGTCCAATTTTCTCCAAACATGCACTCAAATGATCTTCGGACTGAGCCGCATAAAAGTACTGTCCCCGATTTTTTTTATTCATCTTTGTTCAAAAGTTATGGTGTCGCAAACTTAACGAGGTCCACCCAAAATTGGCTAAGAGGCTGTATCTCGGCCAAAGTTTGATCAATCGAAACAAAAATTGGTACACTTCATCGGAAGCATGTTCTGAGGTTCCATGCCAAAGTTGGGAATAGCGCCACCTACGGGTCGTGAGATATGCAAAATTGCTATTTTGGCCAATAACTTTTGAACACTTTGTCAGAAAATCATAATTGTGGTATCTATGGATTCTTTGCGTCATGCCGAATCCGTGGATATCGATTTTTCCATAATGGGATGTACCCTGTGTCCGCCATTTTGAATTTTGTCATAATTTGCAATATCTTTTAAACTATTTGAATTTTCTTCACCAAATTTGGTATGGATTACCATTAGCATGGCCCGGAAGTACCTGAGAAGTTTGGTCACAGCGCCACCTAGTGTTCCAGAGATATCATTGTTTTTTGAAAAAACGCTTATAACTTTTGCTAACATTGCTTGAAATTTGATTTCTATATGTCAAAATATTCCTTGGGTTATGCCGATTTCAACAATATCTCATATGTTAATTTTGAACAATGTGACTGGCCACCATATTGGAGCAAATGGGAAACAGTTTTTTCGCTACTCCTCCTTCAAATTTTGTCCAATTTTGTCCAAACATGCACTCAAATGATCTTCGGACCGAGCCGCATAAAAGTACTGTTCCCGATTTTTTTATTCATCTTTCTTCAAAAGATATGGTGTTGCAAAATGAACAAGTTCGACCCAGAGTTGGATCAGAAGCTGTAACTTGTGAACAGTTTGTCACAAAATCATAAAATTGGTATCTATCCATTCCCTGCGTCCTGTCGAATCCGAGGATATGCATTTTGCCAGGATTGGACGTACCAAGTCATAAGATACATTAGCATTGAACTAGCTTAGCATGCTAATCTGGATAACATGTCATGGAACTTTTTTGTGAATCATTCTCACACTGAACCCTCTCCCTTGCTGCTTTGAAATTCACAACCTCTGAGTGGCGCAATATGTTAAACCATGTATCTCAAATACTGAACCACTCTGGTTGTGGGTTCGAGTCCCACGTGGGGTGACTTTAAAATTGTGTAATAAGTTTTCATTTCAATTCCTTCGTGCTATGCACTGCTGTTTGTGCTTAAATGCTCACTGTGCTTCATTTACATGTGTATTCAATTTGTGCTGTTTTTGTTCTTGCGGCTCTGCACTGCTCTTGGTGCTTAAATGCCTGCTGCACTGCTGTACTTGATGTGCTGGCTCTGTGCTTGGTCTGCTTGCTGCGCCTTGCTGGGCTTGGCCCCGTGTTGCTGCTTGCAGCTATATTTATTATTATATCTTCTTCCGCCAATGGAAGTCTATGGCAGCCCTATGAACCGTAAGTAGGAAAATGATGAAATTTGGCACACTTGTAGTGATGCTAATGAATAGTAATTGGACCAATTTTTGACCCTCTAGGACCAACTCTATAGCGCCACCAGCAGTTCAAAAATTCAACATTGAAATGGTTATAACTTTTGAACCCTTTGCTCTAGAGACATGAAACTTAGTACACCTGATTCCTCTCATCATGCTGATCACAACCAATACCGTACATTAAGACCCCGCCCATTACAGTAGTGGCCATTTTGAAATGTACAGTTCTCAGTTTTTTCGCTACTCCTCCTTCAAATTTTGTCCAATTTTCTCCAAACATGCACTCAAATGATCTTTGGACTGAGCCGCATAAAAGTACTGTCCCCGATTGTTTTTATTCATCTTTGTTCAAAAGTTATGGTGTCGCAAACTTAACGAGGTCCACCCAAAATTGGCTAAGAGGCTGTATCTCGGCCAAAGTTTGATCAATCGAAACGAAAATTGGTACGCTTCATCGGAACAATGTTCTGAGGTGACATGCCAAAGTTGGGAACAGCGCCACCTACGGGTCGTGAGATATGAAAAACTGCTATTTTGGCCAATAACTTTTGAACAGTTTCTCAGAAAATCATAATTGTGGTATCTATGGATTCTTTGGATCATGCCGAATCTGTGGATATCGATTTTGCCATGATGGGATGTATCACGTGTCTGCCATTTTGAATTTTGTCATAATTTGCAATATCTTTTAAACTATTTGAAATTTCTTCACCAAAATTGGTATGGATCACCATTAGCATGGCCCGAAAGTACCTGAGAAGTTTGGTCACAGCGCCACCTATTGTTCCAGAGATATCATTGTTTTTTGAAAAAACGCTTATAACTTTTGCTAACATTGCTTGAAATTTGATTTCTATATGTCAAAATATTCCTTGGGTTATGCCAATTTCAATGTTATCTCATATTTTACTTTTGAACAATGTGACTGGCCGCTATATTGGAGCAAACGTGAAACAGTTTTTTTGCTACTCCTCCTTCAAATTTTTGTCCAATTTTTTCCAAACATGTACTCAAATGATCTTTGGACAGAGCC